CAATCGGATTCAGGTCAGGTGATTGACTTGGCCATTGCATAACATTCCACTTCTTTCCCTTAAAAAATTATTTTGCTTCGGGTCATTGTCCATCTGCACTGTGAGTTCTGAAGCATTTGGCTGAATATGAGCAGATAATATTGCCCGAAACACTTCAGAATTCATCCTGCTGCCTTTGTCAGCAGTCACATCATCAATAAATACGAAAGAACCTGTTCCATTGGCAGCCATACATGCCCATGCCATGACACTACCACCACCATGCTTCACTGATGAGGTGGTATGCTTTGGATCATGAGCAGTTCCTTTCCTTCTCCATACTCTTCTCTTCCCATTACTCTGGTACAAGTTGATCTTGGTCTAATTTGTCCATAGGATGTTGTTCCAGAACTGTGAAGGCTTTTTAAGATGTTGTTTGGCAAACTCTAATCTGGCCTTCCTGTTTTTGAGGCTCATCAATGGTTTACATCTTGTGGTGAACCCTCTGTATTCACTCTGGTGAAGTATTCTCTTGGTTGTTGACTTTGACACACAGACACCAACCTCCTGGAGAGTGTTCTTGATCTGGCCAACTGTTGTGAAGGGTGTTTTCTTCACCAGGGAAAGAATTCTTCGGTCATCCACCACAGTTGTTTTCCGTGGTCATATACAAACTGTTGTAATTCCTACACCGTTCACCTGATTTGGATGTAAATACCCTCAAATTAAAGCTGAAAGTCTGCAGATAAAGCACATCTTTTATAGCCACCCTCCAGTTCCTACCTTTTGGGTGCTGGAGAGTGTCTTTTCTGATGTCCAGTCTGCAGCCTGAGGAGGTTAGGAATTAGGAGCTGGCTCTTACAGCCTGCACTCCCTCCTCTCCTGTGTGCTCCGGCTCCTGTCTCTCTCCGCGTCTGGCCTCCTCCTCACAGCCACCTGCTACATGGTGACTTGAGGCACACACTTTCTTCCAGGATGCAGGGGCAGATCAAGAACCGAATCTCTGTTGAGGCACTTGGAAATTATTTACTGGGACAATTAAGGCACAATAACTAGTACAGCTCTCTGTAGTGGTTATGGTTCAAGGAGTGTCGTGGCGCCCTCCCAGAGAAAGCAGTCAAACTGTTTAAGAACAGTTTGACAACTTACCTAGGGTGTGCCGGGATAGAGGCTGTAGTAAGGAATAGGGCAGTAATGTGTGTGCACGAGGGGTGCAATGTGCGTGTGTGAGTGTGTGAGGGATGCAATGTGTGTGAGGGGTAAAACGAGTGTGAGGGGTATAGTGTGTGTGAGAGATGCAATGTGTGTGAGCGGTGAAGTGTGTGTGAGGGGTCCAGTGTGTGTGTGAGGGGTGTAGTGTCTGTGTATGAGGGGTGCAGTGTCTGTGTGTGAAGGTTGCAGCGTTTGTGTTAGGGATGCAGTGGGTGTGAAGGGTGCAGTATGTGTGTGTTTTTGAGGGGGGCAGTATGTGTGTGTGTGAGGGGCACTGTGTGTGGGTAGCTTAAAGCAAATTTTTTATTTATTAAAAGAATACTAAAACTTTATAAATCCACACCCTCTTTACCTTTACTCAGGGAGAGGGGATATTTCCTACAATCCCTGGTGGTCTGGTGGGGAGTGAACTCTAGTCTGCAGCTCCTGAGGCTAGAGTTCACTCTCGCGAGATCCAAAATGTTGCCATGGTAACCGCGGCAACACTCTGTGCTCGTGAGAGGAGGACCTGGAGGAGCTGCTGGCTGAGCTCCCGGGTCCTCTCCAGCGCCAGACTGGGAACTAAAAGCAGCCCTGGAAAAAAAATTCCATACCAGCGAAATAATGTGTCGCGCCAGCATAGTGTGCTGATATAGAGGTGAAAAAGATAACTTAAAATTGAAAACTATAACTCCAACGAAAGAAAGCATATAGGGCTTCAAAATAAACAAAAGAACACCTTTATTTTAACCACTTAACGACTGAGCCAATTGTACACATTGTGATCAAAACAAAAGGTAAATAAAACTTGGAATTTGCGCTGTATGTCTGTTCAACCGTAATTCGCCTCTTTCATATAAAATGCACCCACACTTATTATATATAATTTTATTCAGGAGAAACAGGGCTTTCATTTAACATCAAATATTTAGCTATGAAACATAATTTAATATGAATAAAATATAAAGCAATGTGAGAAAAAAATTAATGTTGTTATTTTTTTAGTTCTACATGACATTTTAACCCCTTAAACCCTTAAGGACGGTTGACGGACGAGGTCCGTCACAGAGGGGAGACCCTTAATGACGAGTGACGGACCTTGGACGGACGCGGTAAAATTAACCCCAGGGTTAATGGTGCTCCGGTATGCCTCTGCATTAGAGGCATACCGGGAGCACCCGGTCAGGCTGCCCAGCACATGTGCTCGCTCTGACCGCAAGTCAGAGTGAGCACATGTGCTCTGTATACTCACCTTCTGCCTCCCTGCACTTCCTGGTTCTGTGTGAAGTGCAGGGAGCTGGAACAGTGCTGATCCTGCCCCCTGCTGTAAAAAAAAAAGTTAATTTAAAGTCCCACCCCCCCTTTACCCATTTTAATAAAAAATTAACCCCTTCCCTGCCAATTGATCACTGACTTCAGTGATCAATTGGCAGGGATTACATTTTACTATGATCTGATATATAATTTTAAAATATTTTAATTAATTAATTAAATAAATTTAACCCCTGAGGGTTAAAAAAAAAAAGAATTAACCCTCAGGGGTTAAATTTATTTAATTAATTAATTAAAATATTTTAAAATGATATATTTAGCTAGCTGGGGTGGGTGGAAGTTAGTGGGGAATTTGGCGTTAGGCTAACTAGGGGTTAACGTTAAAAAAAGTTTTAAAATAAACTTTAAAAAGTAAAAAATTAAGCTGAAAAAAGTTTTAATAATGTTTAAGTAAAAAATACAACAAACACCCTCCTTTACCTAGTCCAAATAAAAATTAACCCCTTCCCTGCCAGTCGATCACTGCCTACAGCGATCAAATACAGATCACAGTATTATACTGTGATCTAATTTTTTTTAACCCCTGAGGATTAACTTTTATTTATTTTTTAACCCTCAGGGGTTCAATTTATTTAATTAATTAATTTAAATATTTTATAACTATATATTTTGCTACCTGGGATGGGTGGGAGTTATGGGAATATTGGGAATTTACTGTTAGTGCTGCTTACTGCTAGTTAGGGGTTAACGGTAAAAAAAAAAAGCTTAGAAAAATGTTAAATCTGTAAAAAAGTTTTAAGAAAGTTTAGGAAAGTTTTAATAAAAAATTAATAAGCAAAACAAAAGTTTAAAAACTAGTTTTTAAAAGTAAAAAAGTAAAAAAAAGTTAAAAAATACATTTTAAAAACGCTCATTACCACTACACCTGGAACAAACTAGAGAAAAAAATTATCCCACGCCAAGGTTCAAAATATGCCTTTTGAATTACCCCAGAGTGTATTCTTTAATAAATAGTATGTGTTTGTGGGGAAGTTTCAATAACCAACCGTCTAAACTACTCCAAACTGGAACATGGACACAGCGTAAAACGTCAAAGTTAGAAAAAAACTGAATGGCTGCGTCTCAAATGCGCCCCTTCAACATCCACATATACCTGGCAAAGGTACATACGGGGGTATTGCTGTACTCAGCTGACATAGCTGAGCAACACATGAAGTATTATACAGTCATAGCACACATAAGGTTTGCAAAATATGCTGCGCAAACTCACTTTGTATGTCAAAAAGGCAGAAAAAATGGTTATTACCACTACACTTGGTACAAGCTAGCGGAAAAATGATCCCACGCTAAGGTTCAAAATATGCCTTTTAAAATACCCTGGGATGTCTTATTTAAGAAATGCTATGGCTTTATGGGGTATTTGGATTATATAGCCTGGTAAAATACTCTAAAATGGGACATAGGCACAGCATAAAAATTCAAAGTTTGAAAAAAACTGGAATGGCTGTGTCCCAAATGTGCCCCTCCGATGTCCACACATACCTGGCAAAGGTACATACGTAGGTATTGCTGTACTCAGCCGACATAGCTGAGCAACATATGAAGTATTATACAGTTGTAGCACACATAAGGTTTGCAAAATATACTGTGCAAACTCACTTTGTATGTCAAAAAGGCAGAACCAGGGGGACTGGCGGGGGGGCTGGGCAGCGGGGGGGCGCGGGGCAGGCTGTTTTCGAGGGGGCCTTCCTCCTTGCCCTTCTTCCCTTGCGTTCCTCCCTTTCTCCCCTGCCCCACCTCCCTACTATCCAACACGTTTGACCGATCATTCTTCTGTTACACACATACAGTTACCCAGGGTACCACGATTACATATGGGTACAAATACGACACCGGACTTAAATGATGAAGAAGACCTGAACCAGACGTACTCACGTCGGTCGTGGGACGGGAGAACCCCACGAACTGATGTACACTCTGATGATATCACATGACAAACACCATCTTACCTTCATGGATGAAATACAAGTAACCCTATTAGTAGATATCACAATACTTGTTATGATCTATACCATAAACAACTAAATGACAGCTACAACATAGCTTCATATGGCACCTGATGTAAAATATACACATCAACATGTGTGGATGCTAACTCTTAAACATGTAAAAAAAACTTTCTGTACCCTTGAGTAGGATCTGCGTGTCCACTAGACGCACGTTTTGTTTTCTTGTATCACTTGCTCTATAACTGAAATAAAAGATTTATTAAAAAAAAAAAAAAAGGCAGAAAAACCGCTTATTACCACTACATCTGGTACAAGCTAGCGGAAAAATGATCCCACGCTAAGGTTCAAAATATACCTTTTGAAACACCCTGGGGTGTCTACTTTAAGAAATGGTAGGCCTTTGTGGGGTAGTTTGAATTTAAAACCTGCGAAGATGCTTGGAAATTGCACATAGGCCCATCGTCAAAATTCAAAGTCTGGGGGCGGGGCCAAGCTGCTGATCGAGACGGACGCACGTCGGATGAGCTCCGACAATCACCGCTGTATTTTGGCGATTTCAAACCCCTTACCACCGCCGGCAAACCGGACCACAGGTGCTACTAGTGGTCATGGGCCGCAAGATGAAAAAACAAAAGCCCGACAAGCCCAAAGCGGGCATGAACATAGGGGATCTGCTCCGGCAGGCCCACGGAGTGGGTAGGCCCAAGATGGCCGCCGATATGGACGAGTACTCAGCCTCAGACTCCTCAGAGGACTCAATACTGGGGATGGGATCCGCTAGGGTTCCCCTCACACCACAGCCCCAGACAGCTCCAAAGAATGCTGACTCGGCTCCGGTGACAAATGCCACTCTGAAGGAGCTACTACACAGCCTCCAGCTCACTTTGCAAGCCGACATGGCCTCACTCAGGGCAGATCTAACGGGCATGGTGGGCCGCTTGGGGACAGTGGAGACGACAGCAGCCGAACAAGCCCAGACAATCACCACTCTCTCGGGGGAAATAGGGACCCTCAGGGCACAGCAAGCCACCTTGGAACAACGCTTGGCAGTGATGGAAGATGGCAGGCGCCGAAAGAATCTCAAGATACGGGGTGTCCCAGAGGCGATCCCAGACGCAGAACTCCCGCATCTGGTGAGAAGGCTGCTAGGGTCACTACTTACGCCCAAGCAGGCAAAAGGCATTATGACTGACGGGATCTTTCGCATACCGAAGCCTAAGAAGGCCCCCGAGACCGCACCCAGGGATCTGGTTGTTAGATTCGGCAGCAGCAGGGAGAAAGCAGCAGTGCAGGCAGCAACCAAAGGGAATTCGCCACTCTCCTTTGAAAACATGGCGCTCACGTTCTACTCAGACCTATCTGGGGACACCCTGAAATGGAGGAAAACTCTCCAACCACTCACCTCACTGCTACGCACCCACGCTATCCCATATCGCTGGAGATCACAGCGGCTACTCCATATCCTGAAAGAGGACGCTGTGCACGCGGTCAGGGACCTTAAGGAGGCGGCAGCCATGCTGGAAACCATCGGCCTCCCACGAGATGCGCTCGCCCAACACAGCACAAGCAATACGGCTAATACGCATACATGGGACCCCACTAGAGTCACCCCGTTTGTCCCTCAGAGGGCCCGCTCGGATGCCTATGCGGTGGCCACAACATGAGGTGACGCAGGACTATCCAGGCTCCAATGGGACATCACCCACTAATATTTCACCTACGGTTTTGGGGTTCATATGAATCTCCTTTTACATAAGTTTTTTGTATGCTTTTTTGTTCACAAAATTGTATATAGTTGATGATTTCTCTTCAGAACTGACACACACCAGAGACGGCAGGGCCTCTCCCCCCCCCTCCCGAGCAACTCGAAATTGAGGCGACACAGCCAAGCGCAGTAGGGCGACCTGGCAGAATTAACCTCGGTAGATCTAATCCCCCCTACGTCCCCAGCACGACCCGACAACTGAATATATACCGGGTCCATACATAGTTCGCTAGACGGGTTCCAACAGCCAGGATGGTAGAAACCTTAGGTTACACAATCACCTAGTTTTTCACTCGACCATTAGATAGACTAGAGTAACCTGAAACGCTAGCCTAACTGCACTACATACTATTGGAAACCCGGCCATCTTACATAGTCTTGACACAATAAAGCTCTAAGAATCTATGTTAACTAGCAGGTGATATGGTAACCTATTCTGTCCCCTTTAAGCTAAACTAGCTGCAGGACAGCGCTTGGTTATTGCAGCTTGGTATCATTACATTATTTATCAGACCTGTCTACTTCTTCGCTACACTTTATACGTGACTAACTGTATATGGCTCTACATGATGCATGCTATCAGCGCTTGTTTCTAGGAAAAATTTTGTTTTTCTTTTATTTAACCTCACTTGGACGACATACCTACCATGCCACTGTCGGATTAGTGTGGAAACTGGTGATACGCTGATGTGGCGCCTACCTATAGAATGTTTCTTAACTTACTCGAAATGTTAAACATATTTACTCTTATGTCCTTACATAAAAAACAAAATGTGTACTGTTATATCAATATGCCTATACTGTTACCATCATAGTTTACCCTTACCTCGCTATGGCTGTTGTGGCACAGCGAGAATGCTTGTTACCCTCATGCACATCAAAAATAAATAATAATAAAAAAAAGTCTGGTAAAAACGGATATGGCTTGGTCTCCTATATGGCACTGTAGCTTCACGAAATAGTGCCAAAGACATTCATTGGGGGTGTCTTTTTACTCAGAAGACTTAGCTGAGCATAATTTGGGAGGTTTGAACTTAGTGGCACATATGAAATATACAAAACGCCCAGCAAAAATGCAATCCGTATGTAAAAAATGCACAAAATTATTTTTTACCACATACTTTGGCATATATTGGTGAAAAAATGGGGGTATGTTAAGGCACAATATGCACCTTATGAGATACCCTGGAGTGTCTACTTTTACAAATGGTAGGCCTTTGTGGGGGTTTTTTGAACAGTCAAACTGTTATAATACCCCAAATGGAAGCTAAGGCTCATTAAATCCATCTCTCAAAATTCTACTGTGAATACTGTAAAGGACAGGTCTCCTATATGGCACTGTAGCTTCACGAAATAGTGCCAAAGACATTCATATGGGGTGTCATTTTACTCAGAAGACTTAGCTGAGCATAATTTGGGGGGTTTGAACTTAGTGGCACATATGAAATATACAAAACGCCCAGCAAAAATGCAATCCGTATGTAAAAAATGCACAAAAATTTTTTTTACAACATACTTTGGTATATATTGGTGAAGAAATGGGGGCGGGGGCTTAGCGGCGGAACGAGCCGGACGCCATTTCTGACAGCTCTGAGCTAACTGAAACTGAATCCGTCAGCATCACCAAAAGTACTTGCCATCCACGCAAACAATTACCAGCATTGCCCGAGGGAGTCCATCCTGCACCGCCCGATGCCATTCCGGTACAATTCGAGGCAGGTAAAGCCCAAAACGAAAATCCGGGCCTACTACACACCGAACAGCCGCGGCCTGGAGTACTTGTGGGGCGGAGAGAGCCTGGGAGACCCAAGCGAAGTCCATCTACAGGACCCCGACCAGTCCCACAAAGAGATGGGGCGCAGATCACAACGGCCACACCAAGGTACTGTCACAGCACAGCCTGACATAGGGGCATTGCTGCAGAAACAAACCCCAGCCAAAATGGCGTCCGACCAGGGCCCAGACCCCCCACAGGCAGACACCCCACCTGCACAAACCACTCAGGGGGACACACAGAGATCTCCACAGCTCACACAGACCCCAACCACCAAACCCATACCCCCACAGGGATCAACAGACCCAGCCACAAAGCAGGACCTGCAGCAGTTGCAAATTATGCTGCAGGATATACAACACCTGCTGGCAGCAGACCTACCAGCGCTCAAAACGAGCATGCAACAGATCACAGAAAAAGTGACCACTACTGAAAACCAAGTCAAAACAATACAGGGAGAAGTCTCTACGCTACAAGATTCGCTCCACCAACTACAACAAGACCAGCAACGCTTAGCAATACAACTGGCGACGCAGGAGGACAAAAACCGACGCAACCACATCAAAATCAGAGGCATCCCGGCATCGGTGAGCAAAGAAGACCTACCGCATTACGTGAGGCGACTCACACAATCACTACTCCCTCCCGCAGTAACTAAGAAACTCGCCTTTGCAGGGATTTACCGCCTACCCACCCCTCCTAGAGCCGCCGCAAAACGCTAGCCGGAGATGTCATTGTCCGGTGCGCCCTACCGCAAGACAAGGGGCACATCATGAGCGCCATCAGGGGTAAGACCCCGCTTGATTTCGAGGAAACCCAACTGACCTTTTATCAGGACTTATCCAAGGCCACCCTCCAGTGGAGAAAGTCGCTTACGGAACTCACAGGCCATCTGCGTACAGCGGGGATACCATATAGATGGGGGAACCCCCGCTCTCTGCTCATCACCCACCAGGGGACCACCCATAAAATCACCTCAGGGACTGAGGCCCCTACACTACTCACAAAATTGGGCCTGCAAAACTTGCCCAACCTGGGCACTCCCCACGTATGGAATCCAGATACCTCGGATACGTTTGTGCCGAGAAGACAGAGAATGGACACGCAAGCCACCTGACGGACAGGGGGAGAGAGGTCTCTTAACCCTGCCCGCTTAACGGCGATATCCATATGTCTTGTCTACTACAATCTGTATTCCCACCACCCTCCGCGCAATACATTTCTGATGTTGAAGTTCTTATCTGTTTATCGCTAGCTAGATGACTTAGCTGACGAGCTGCCGCATTACCAGACCATAAGCTATACCCTAAGCCAAAACCTACCCCCCCGACAGCCCCTAGGTTAGGGCTACCACCCCTCATGAGAGGTCCCCAGCGGAACTAGATGACCAAGCCACTTCGGAACACGTGTACCACTCACCAGACTACATGACCGACGAAACTACACCTACCGCACCCACATGGACCCTAGCACCACTCCGCATCTCCACACATACTTCCTAGCACCAATAGGGTCACGTCATCGACACCAACCCATGACCTAGGTACTGCACCCACAGACGAGTAACACGACTAAACCCCTATACGACACAACCTCTACCTAGGATGTTACGCCTGTTAAACTTAATGAAAAAATGTGCTAAAACTGATCACATGCATTATCTGACAAATGTTTAAACCTGTTACCTACTCAAACGATGCATAAGATGCAACATGTCTAACTCTTGTGCACGCAAAAATAAAGAATTATAAAAAAAAAAAAAAGAAATGGGGGCATGTTAAGGCACAATATGCACCTTATGAGATACCGTGGAGTGTCTACTTTTACAAATGGTAGGCCTTTGTGGTTTTTTTTTTGAACAGTCAAACTGTTATAATACCCCAAATGGAAGCTAAGGCTCATTATATCCATCTCTCAAAATTATACTGTGAATACTGAAAAGGACAGGTATCCTGTATGGCACTGTAACTTCACGAAATAGTGCCAAAGACATACAATGGGGGTGTCATTTTACTCAGCAGATGTAACTGAACACAAAATAAAACTTTGTACAGGAATAGCACACACCAACTTTACAAAATATACACGAGAATTTCTTTGTTATAAGTTTGTGTGCCAAAAACCCCCCAAAAAACAATTTTACTGCAATATTTAGCAGAGGTTGGCGGTGAAATGGCTACGTAAAAAGTGTCAAAACAACCTTAGGTAAATAGCCCGTGATGTCTACTTTATATAAATATATACTTTTGTGTGGCAATTTTGTTTTCTTTTATGGCTATTAAGCTTACAAGACAAACATACCAAATTCTAAAATCGCTCCACATTAAAAGTCTATTTTACTCCTTGTGCTTTGTGACCTGTAACTACCAAAAAAAACTTAAAATCCCAGACACATTATATATTCTGTAAATCAGAACAACTAAATTAATTTATTTTTAATTACTTTTCTTAACCTGCACTAATTACGCACACATTATTATTGCAAAAACTGTAAAAAAACACACAAAATTTTCATTTTTTTACATTTTTCTGTATTTTTTATAATAAATAAGCATTTATATATATGTGTGTTACATGAAATTAAAGCCCTTTCTGTCCTTTAAAAAAACGATGTATAATATGTGTTGGTGCAACAAATTAGTAAAATGCAAA